CCCAAATGCTTTAAGCTCAGTTTAGTACGTGACAACTTCAAGCATTTTTAACACTTGCTGTTGGGAAAGACAGGACATATACAGTTAGTTATATCTTTGGACTGTTCTCTGGGCTCTGTAAAAATTTTCTCTGTATTTTCTCTCTCTCTCTCTCTCTCTCTCTCTCTCTCTCTCTCTCTCACACACACACACACAAACACACACACACACACACACACACACACACACGGAGAGAGAAACAAAGAACTGCATAACAGCAAGTTGCTTGCTTTGTGTTTCTGTGTTTCTGTACCTTGCACACGCCCTGCAGGATGGAGGCCTTGGTCTATACACAGGAGGTTTCTGTGTCTCCTGCAGGAGCAGAGGGAAAGGGAGACAGCCCAAATGATGGCGATAGGAAAACAGCAGCTCACAGCTCTTCCTCAGAAGGTGGTTTTTTTTTTTTTTTTTTTTTTTTTTTTTTTGTTTGCAGCATGAAGAAAATGGAAAACATTAGAAAGCCAAGGCAAGCCTTGCACAAGTCTCTTGCTTGTTATAGGGCAGTTCTGACTCATGGGAGCAGAGTGGAACTCTGGCTGTTTTTGCATAAACAAAGTCTTGCAAGGTTTTAGACAGGTGCTGCTTAACTTTTCTCAATTAAAGAGAAACTAGATCCACCTGGGAAGAGGAACCCTCAACTGAAGAATTGCCTCCATTAGATTGTCCTGCAGACTTTGGGGGGGGGGCTGATGACTGATTTAGGAGGGACCAGCTCACTGTGGGAGGTGACAGCCCTGACCAAGTGGTCCTGGGCTGTATAAAAAAGGAAGCTGAGCAACTGTGGGTTAGCAAGCCAGTAAGCCTCCTGACTCCAGGCTCCTGCCTTGAGTTCCTCCCGACATCCCTCAGTGATGGACTGTAAGCTGTAAGATGAACTCTTTCCTCCCTAGCTGATTTTGATCAGTGTTTTATTACAGCAACAGACTCTAGACTAGAACAGCCATGAAGAGAGGAAGGAATTCCCATAGGTAGAGCCAAATCCTGGTTTCATGCAGGTGTTTGCCTTTGAGTGTGGGGGCCTGAGGTCGTCGTCAGATGTCTTCCTTAATCACTCTGTACCTTATTTTTCTGAGACAGGAGCGCTCCATGAACCTGTAGCTTATAGATGCAGCTAGGCTGGCAGGCCAGCAAGCCCCAGAGATCCTCCTGTCTCTGTCTCCCCAGTGGCCAGAAGAAGACATCAGATTTTCTGAAACTGCAATCATGGAAGGTTGTAAGGAGCCATATGGAGGTTGGGATCTGAATTCAGGTCCTCTGTGAGAGCAGCTAGTGTTTTTAGCCAGTGAACCATCTCTCCAGTCCCAACTTAATTTTTAATAAGAACACATTAAGTTAGATGACTTAAGTAGTCGGTGGGAACATGTGTTAGAAGTTTCTCACATCACAGTAGACCGTAACTCTGGACCCAGCTATACTTTTTAAGACATGGCTTTAGTAGACTAAGTTCACCAGCTTAGCTCTTCCTAAAAGGTTTCACAACCCCTCAAAATAGCACCACCAGCTGGGTACAAGTGTTCAAACCCCAAGTTTGTGGAGAATGTGTCAGTTCAAAACCATAGCAAGGTTGATGATATATTGCCCCAGAATTTCTATCAGCTCAAAGACCATTAGGAAAAGCATTTATAGACGGAAGTCTAAATGAGGCACAGTGGCATATGCCCATAAACCCTGCACTCTGGAGGCCGATGTGGGAGGATCACTTGAGCCCATGGTTGTGAGACCAGCCTAGATAACATATTGGAAACCTCATCTCTAAACATAAATAAATGAAAAAAAAAAACCTAACTCCAAAGCATGCTTTTTAAAAATTTCTTATTACCCAGAAGAGAAGAGGGCTTTCTGACCCATCTTGTGCAGTATCACTTAGAGAAGTGTTGAGTAGAATAATTCTTTGTCAAATAATAGCTGTTTAGCAATTCATGAGAACACAGGGGAAAAAAGAAGCTTGCTGCCAGAAATAGACATAATAATGAGGGGAAAAACCCTTACCTTTTCTTTGAAACCAGGGTATCATAATGTAGCCCAGGCAGATCTTTAAACGATGATCCTGTCTCCGCATCCTAAATTCTGGGATAGCGGATGTGTACCACCATACTGGGATCCTTGCCTTCACCTTGGACTGTGGAGAGATTCTGTTTGTTTGTTTGTTTGTTTTTTAAAGATTATGTTCTAAATCTTTACTCATTCCTGGTGTTGTGTGTTGTGTATGCCAGCTCCAATGACCATAGACATTCAGGGCCTCATCGCTCACATGCCTCTCTCCTGAAGATGGTCCTTCTGAAGTCATCGCTCCATGGAAAAAGACTATATAATAAGTACAGCAGGCTTGTGCAGATGGTGAGGATTGTCAGAGGGCCTTGGGCTGTTGCTGCTGCCCACAGAGCGAGCTCAGGGCATTCGGGCAGCTCAGTTTTTGCTTCAGGAGGACCTGAATGTCTGGAACCAGACCCCAAGAATAAAAGCCAGAGTAGCAGCTGTTCACTCACAGCAGGGTATGCTGGGGAGAACTGCAGTTATAATCTGGGGTTCCTGAGAAGGCATGCCATCGGAAAGCCAGCTCAGGACCTGGTTTGAGGGGAGGAAAGTGAATCTTCCAGATATGCTGTCTGTATTACTCCTGAGCCAGAAGCCCCTGCTTGTCATGTGACAGGGCCTTCAGTTGTCCAAGCAACAGCTGAGCTTTGGACTTAGGTCCCATCGTATTTTCCAGCACAGGTCACCCTGGCAAACACTGGTCATCAACATGTGTGTCTTGTACACCACTCCAGCCCAGTGCTCTCTGCTCTACCCCTTACTCAGGAGCTCCAAGGCCAGTTCAAGCAGGCTTTGGGCAGCTTTGATGAGGTGCAGCCTGAAGGGCTTCATTTGGGTCAGCAGTGTTTAGCTTCATGCATTCCATCCAGGGGACAGGATCTTTGTGTGTATAGGAAACAGAGACCCCAGTGTTGTCTTTTTAAATGGGTGATGAGGCAAATGCTCCCCACTTTTCTCCATGCTGCAAGACGGTTTTGAGATGCATCTCCCAGGCTTTCTCAGAGACTCAGGACCCTGCAATTTCTTTCTTAGGTGCTGACCAACACAGTAAGCATCCTAGGACTGGGCCTCCCTCCTTCCCTGTTCTGCATTCCTGTTCCTCAGAGTCTTATTCCGGGTAGAGTACAGAACTGTACAGAAGCTCCGAGCTCAGGCTTTTTCCAGGGAGACCCAGGCTGAGTGCACCAGGCTGGTGCAAATCATGGTCAATATTGGGTAGATGCCTATTATATAGCATAGTATGAGTTAAATCTTAACCCTGCACACTAATAGTTAGCCTACAGAAGAGTTGCATGCTGGTGTTTCTAGGCACATTACTCAGGGTTCTCTGAAGAAACAGAAATGGCAGAATGAAGCAAGATATTAAAAAGGGAATTATTAGAGTGGCTTGCGGAGGTGGTCTGGGTAGTTCAACAGTGCCTATACCTGATGGAAAGGCTACTGATCTGGGAGTTGTTCATTCCACATTACTGGATATCTCAGCAATCCCATCCAGTACTGGAGGAGGACCAAGGAGGTCCTAGAGGACTGTCAGTTTTTAGTCCATGCTGGAATTTAGAGGTGGATTCTAACACCAGTGAAGGAATGGTTTAGGACAGGATTGATGAACTAGCCAGTGAAAGAGAGAGCAAGTAGGCAGTAAAAACTTTTCTTCCTCCATGTTCTTTTTTTGTGAGCTGTCACCAGGAGGTGAAGCCCAGGTTTAGAGTGAAGTTTCTGACATTAAATGACCATGATTTAGGGGAGGTCTTCCACATCAAATAATCCAACTAACAGAATGCCCTCACATGTGCGCCTAGCTGCTTAGGTTTTAGTTAATTCCAAATGTAGTCAAGTGGACAACCAAGATTAGCCATCCCACAAATCCTAACCAATTCTAGAAATAAAGATTATAGGTAGTTGTTATTATTTTAAAATATCATTGTTTATTAAGGCTATCTCATTGCCCAAGGAACTTCAGTAGTTTCCACCAAATATTGTTTCTTTCTTTAAAGAAGGTGAAGTGTGTGCAATATCAGAAGGGACAATGACATTGAACACAAATACCCACCGATGTTACACGGCTGCAGCCAGCAACTCTGAGAGACTGTCAACACAACTTACATTTCTTTCTTGAATTTCCCCATGATTATACATCGTAAAAGGAACAAGTGTAGTGTTATTGTTTGGGCACTCAGAGCAGTGACAGTGGCTAAGGCTGGGAGGTGCAACTGCACTTCCATGGCGGCAACTGTACACCAGCCAGGGTAATGCAGAGCTGAGAAACACTGTTCCCAAGTCTCTGCTGAAGGGTGAATAACTTGAGACACAACAACAGACGACAAACAAAACAATCCCATGACAGTGCTGAAGAGGCACTCTGTTACCAATACATGCCCTTCAAGGCACAGGTAAGTGTCTGGTAGCCAGGGATTCTGATTTACACAGCAGTGGAAGCCAAGCTGTGGCCTAAACAGTGGATTTCTCACGGCCCGGACAAGCCCAGGACTCTGACCAGACATACACAGCACAGCTGGCTGTGGGACTGAGTAGTCACCGCCCACACACTGCTGACCTTATGTACCTGCTCCCACCTTCATTCCCTCTAGGGTGCCCTAGGTCTTGTGTTCCTGTTGTGAGTTGAAGCAATCACAGTAAGGAGTTTTGTAACTTAGGAAAGATGAGAAATCAAACTCCCCATGGAATCATTTATTTTCTGAAGAAGTTTTGTTTCCTTCTGGTTCTTCGTATGGAACTCAGGGCCTTGTGCATCCTAACCGAGCAACACCTATTCCTTTTCCCATGAATTTGTTAGTTAGGGAGAGGAGGGAAAAATGGACCTGCATCTCTATCTGTGCAAACTTACCCGTCTTACAAAGTTTCGCATAGTCTTCCAAGTCCCACTGATTCAAGAGACTCATTGACTTCTTTGGAAGGGCCAAGTCCACCACTAGAATGGGATGGGCAAGCTGTCTGCAATTAGCCTTGGTGTCCCTGGAGGAAGGTGTCTCTCTGGACAGATGCACCCATCCATGAGTACATTAGACACGATGTCAACAGAACAGAAAAGCCCTTCGTAATTGACAGCGTTTCTGACAACATGCAGATTTTCTACCTTCTGGAGGGGTGTTAGAAGGCTGTGCTTTTTAGGATTCTGGAGCGGCTTCTACAACATTTTTGGTGACTTGTTTCTGGCGTGGCCCACGCTTTACTCTATTAAAACAAGGAAAACAAATGTTACTTACAAATCTTACAAAAATACCTATCAGTCACAAAAGAAACAAACCAGATCTGGAGAAAAACCAAAGACATGGCAGATTCTGAAGTTTCCCATAGTCTTTGCACTAAACTAGAGTGGCTGCTTTTATGGTCATGCAAGTGGACACCTGTTCACACAGGATCAGGCCCTTGTCCTTACAGCACCATGGTTAAAGTAGTCCAGTTATTTGTGAGACAGTCTGCAGGAAGCACTATTTCAAAGAGGTTGGGGCCTAAGGACATGGCCAGAACCTGACCAAATGCATCTAAACTGTGAGAAGGAAGGTCTCTTACCTTTTGACCTTTTGCATTTGGTTAATGGTGTCTGGGAGAGAGACACCAGAGCTCTCTGGGAAGAACAAGGTGATGAGAGCTGTCGTGATGGTCAGACTTCCCATAAGGATGTAAGGCAGGTGGCGGTTATAAGCACCTGTGGTCAAGCAGAGGACCCAGGTTACAGTGACACTGGTTTCATTCAGACCTTATATTTCCTCAGGGCTTTATATAGGACTCACCTTACTGTTGGTCTCAGTGCTTCCCAAAGCCTAGACTACTAGAGTGAAGGCTGGCATCTAGAGAGTCTCAGAACCCAGTCCTGGCACAATGTGTCCAGCAGTGTCCACAATGGACAGGGAGAGGTACAGGGAAGCAGAGTCACCACGCTGCAGGGTTCCCACGGAACACAAGGTACTTGTCTAGGAGAGGAGCAACTTTCCACCTGTGCAGATGTGTCCCAGTTTGATTTGCATGCCGGTTAGACAAGGGGCTACAGCCATTTAGAGCCATGTACTAAGCCTTCAGAGTACCTGCTACTCTCGGGACACTGGCAGGTCCTCCCCTGAGCTAGGGATGTGCAGAGGAGCAGCAGTGTCCAGGAAGGAGTCCTGCTATATAATGTCAGAAGGCAGATCTTCACAGGGCATAAACACCCTGTCATGTGTGACAATGAAGGCTGTGTGCCACCTACTGGGAGGCCAAGGCAAGAGGAACTAAAGTTCAAGCGCTGCTGGGGCCACAGAGCAAGTCCAAGTCCAGCTCACACAACTTAGTGAGCCACGATCTTGAAAGTAAATGGGGTCAGGGAGATGGCTCAGCTTGTAAAAATACTTTCTGCTAAGCCTGGTGGCCTGAGTTTGATCTCCAGGATCCACATGCTTCAAATAAAGAACTAATTTTAAGACTCCCCTAAATTATCCTCTGATCTCAACATACACACTGAAGAAATGAAGTGTTCTAAGTTACGGCAACTGTCAGTCCATCACTCAGACCTCTTGGATGGACAGGTTTCTCTCCATGTTCCTAACTCCAAGAAGAAATTCCTCTAGTGAAGTAAACTGACTCCCTAAAGAATTTCTTAGGATGAAGAAATCTAGTTGGTGATGGAAGGTCTGGGGAGATCGAAATAGAGACACCAACACTCTCTCAATCCCATCTAGCTGGTCTATGAGCTATCTTCCATTTGAAATGGGTGCCTTCTCCCTACTACACTTGGAAAGCACCTTCTCCATCCAGGGTCCCAGTATGGATGCATCCTGCTGATTATAGGTGCTTGTGTCCAGCTCACATATAAGGTACTTAGAGCTTTTGTCCCATCCATTGCTCCAGTGCTCCATGGTACTTACCAAGGTAAACAAAGTAGGGAGACAGGATGCTGCCAAGGCGGGATGCTGTGGAGCTGACCCCCACACCCATATTTCTGACCACAGTGGGGTACAGCTCAGCTGTGTACACGTAGACCATGGAATAGGCAGACGTGATTCCAAACTTGCCCACCATCACCAGGGTAGTAGACAAATAAATTAAGTCTGGAGAGAAAAAGGAATGATAGCAAAGGCAAGAAAGACCAGTGTAAGGGTTGCCCTGAAGGAGTTCTCTTCCCTTTTAGCCTAAAATGAACTTACTTTCTCCCTGACTCGGGGTGGAGAGAGTTGGGTAATTCCTATACCTTCCTATTGGGAGAAAACACTATGGCTTAGATTTCTTTCTAAGGGGATTCCTATAAAGAGACTGGGCACTTTAGCTATATGAGGACAAATGTGTTCCTCAACCTAGAGGCCCAGACAGTATGTGCCCCTCATCCCAACCCTTCCAGAAGTCTTCCTGTGTTAGGGATGAGCTGCTTCCGCAGAAGCTCACACTGAGGGCACTGTGGAATTAACCAGGACTTGGAAATGCATGGGGGAGTCCAGCTCTAGCTATGTTCATGCTCACAGTCTACTCAACAAGTTCACAGATCTGGGCTTTGAGGTGACTCAGTGGGTAAGGGCATTTTCAGCCAAGCCTGAGAACTTGTGATTCTCAGGACCCACACAGTGCAAGAGGAGAACTGACTCTTCCCACTTCCTGCGAGCTCTCTTCTGACCTCTACATGTGTGCTGGGAAGCACGTCTCCCTGCTCCCAATAAATAAGTATAACAAAGTCATTGAAAATATCTATAGGCCATCTGAACTTAGGGATGATTGTCCAATCGACTTTACTGTGACCCACAGGTCACTCTGAGCTCAGGTGAGGGCACTGCAGTCACTTTCAGGTTCCTTCTGCCACACACCGGGTTGTTCTGTACAGTCTCACAGTTACCACCACAGGTCCCAAAATTCATAGGGCCATGAATGATTCTGCCAAGTGATGGACAAATAAGGCTTGTCATCTGTTCCCCAGGTTGTCAGAAAGGGCTCCTCCTGTCTATTAGTGCATTATCAAGTCAGTTTTACCAGCACAGTCCTGCCCATAGCCTCAGTTCTCTTTTACCTCTCCCTCATCTTCACTTATTAGTTCCTTTTATACCCTGACGTTTACTGGGCTCATTCCCTCTCAGTGCTCTAATGTAGGCTAGGCTGACATCTGACTCCCAATATAACCAAAAAAGACCTTGAACTTCTCATTCTCTTGCATCCTCCTCCTAAGTGCTTTGATTACAGGTGTGACTAGTTTTCCCTTTTCTATCAAGTTTTCTGAAATGCTCTTCCTGGCTTTTTTTCTTTCTTTTTCTTTTTTGTTGGAGATAGGTCTCCTCTGTGTAACAGTTCTGGATGTTCTGGAACTCTCTTTCTAGACTAGGCTGCCCTTGAACTCACTGAAATCTGCCTGCCCCTACCTCCCAAGTACTGGAATTAAAGATGTGCGCAATTATCACCTGGGTAACCTCTTGATTTTTAAGTGAGCGTTGGACACTGTAACAGTGTACATTGTAACATAGATCTAATGGTCTTGACTGTATTCACTTCCTGGTTCAAGGAAAGTGGAACACAGAAGACTCAATCCTGCAAACAAGCACCATCCATACCTGAGGGCACCAGCTGCAATAAGAGAAGGACACTGCCACCAAGGAAAAGGGAACCAGCCATGGAATATCTCCGGGTCACATGCTGCAGCAACAGCCAGGCCAACACATAGGCTGGGACTTCAACAGCTGCCAAAAGGAAGCCATTCAGGTAGATGTTCCCATTCAAGTTAGGAGTGTCAAGAGAAAGTCCAAAATAGCCCACAGATATGGTCAACCTGCAACAGGGAACAAAAGAGACCCAGATAAACAGCACCCATCACCCCAGAACCATACACCTTGAAAGACATTCATCTTCAGGAAGTTCTGAACTGCTCTTGATACAGGGAATGGAAGGGCAGTTCATCCTGTGCCTTACTTCCTAGCATAAAAGTTAACTTTCCCTGGGTAAGTTTGCCAATGCACCTTCACAACATTTCATAAAGAAAGTGTCTCAGCAAAATTATTAATTGACATTGGCTTAATCATTAGGGGAGAAGTCCCAACCTGCATTTCACCATTAAAATCTTACAACAAAACATTTATAAAAATCCATTGTCCCAACTCTTTTTTCAAACCTCTATCTCCAGAAATTTTTACATTATAATTCATAACAGTAGCAAAATTACAGTAATAAAGTGGCAAGGACAATAATCTTTTGGTTGGGGGTCCCCACACTATGAGGAACTTATTAAAGGGTTGCAGCATTAGGAAGGTTGAGAACCACTGCTCTATGAACATCCCAGAAGGGCCATATGCCACTTTCATGTTTCCAGTAAGCTCTTAGCAGCCCCTGGAACCTAAAGGATAAACCTTCTTCAAACCCACAACTGTCCCAGCCAGACTGTGGGCCATCAACAGAGAACACTTTTAAGAGGAAAGAGCCAGGCATGGGGATGTGCAGGGTGCATGTGCAAATGACAGACACTGTGGCCTCACTGTAGGGGAGCTCCCTCTGTCTCCATGAGCGTAGCAGAGTTGCTGACAGTCTCTTCCTGCCTATTTACCACACAGAATCTACTGAGGGAGGGGACAAGGGACAGGAACAGCTAAGCAAGGACCTGTGGGATTCCCTTGTGGGATCCCTAGATCCTAACATTTTCTCCTGATCACTCTCTCCTTTCCTGGGCTTCCACTACAAAAGATGTCCCTGTGGCTGCCATCCATCACAAGGACAACCTTGTATCATGTGAGGACAGAGGTTTTAGCTTCGGTCTAAGCATGCTTATAGACAAAGAGTTCTGAGAGTGGGGAAGGCTCAGGCAGGTTTCACTTACGCACCACAGGATTATGGACATGATGGTGAGGATCCTGATATTCCGGGTTCGGATCAGATCATAAATGTGGTGTTTGTGAGGCTTCTTGGAACCTGCATCTTGTAACTGCAGGAAGAATACAGTTAATGGTATAGAAGGAGAAAATGTCTGTTGACCTGCAACCCATTATTTTCACCATCTACTTCTCAAGATTTAGGGAGCATCCTAAGGTTCTTCTTTGAAAAGACAGAAGTATAGTGACCTTTGATGACCAAGGCCCCCTGTAGGCCTAGTCAACGACAAAAGGAAACTGAAGGGCAATGAGGGATAAAGAGAGGTATCCAGCAATTGAAAACCAATGTTGTTCCAAGGAGGGCTACTTGTTCATCCCAGCCACCTGACTAGCTTAGACCAGAAATAATTACACAGAAACTCTATTAATTAAATCACTGCTTGGCCCATTAGCTCTAGCTTCTTGCTGGCTAACTCTTACATCTTAATTTAATCCATTTTTATTAATCTGTTTATTACCACAAGGTCGTGGCCTACCAGCAAAGTCTCAGCACAGCTACCTCCAGCCTTGGATCCATGGAATCCCCTGACTCTGCCCTTGTTTTTCCCAGCATTCAGTTTTGTCTTCCCCGCCTACATAAATTCTGCCCTATCAACAGGCCAGGCCAGTTTCTTTATTCATTAACCAAGAAAAGGAATACACCGACGAAAGGACCTCCTACACCACAAGGTGACAGCCACCTCACTGGATTACCCTGCCCATGCTCACTGCCACCTTTCAGGGAGGACTTTGAGGTTTCCCATGCAAGGATGACTCCCTGCTATCTCAGTTAGAGAAAAATAAGGCTGTGTATTTTACTGAACTAACATTTAAATAATGAATATTTTGAGTTCTTATACTATGTAGTTACTGGTCTTCTTCCAGAAAAAGAATATCAAATTGAAAATAGAAAAACTCACCCATATTTCACCCAGAGTAACTCCTTATGAGATTCAGCAGAGCCAAGGCCATCACTAAATCTCATGTCTAAACACACTGATGCTCTTTCTTAGCCAACACACTTTGGGAACTTGTTTTTACCCACTCAGTAGTTCAGTGAAAAATCATCCTGGACTCAAAAATTCTGAAACGGCTCCATTTCCTCAGTGGTGCTAACGAGGCTGGAGCATTCACCCAGACTGACTCCACCTCACTTAAAATGACCTCAGTCACATTCCAGTCCTGACTTCTGTGCCTCAAGACCTTCTAGAGCTGGTGAGTGACGAGTGACTGTGGCTGCTGGACCACCACTTAAGGACTCTTTGCTGCCTGTAACAACTGCTTCCTCTCTCACTAGCCCCCAGCCCTCAGCAGCCCAGAGCATCTCAAACATGCCTGCAGCTTACACTACAAGAAATTACTCATGGAATATGAGAACAGGGAAGAGATGGCCATCAGAAAAAACAGCTGTCAGAGACAGAACACTACTGAGTGCAAATCTACCAGTGTTCAGATTATCTTTTGATGACAATCCCTGATGTTGTGTGATATCTGTACATCATGTGAAGATGTAATGTTGTGATTTGTATAATAAATATCTGAATGGCCAGCCCAGAAGAAGCAGGGTGGGAAGCACAGAGAGATGTGGTATTGAGCCGCAACGTAGATTAAAAAGTAAGGGTTAATTTAAGTTATAAGAACTAGTTAGGACAAACCTGTGCTAAGGTTGAGCTTCTGTAATTAATAATAAGTCTCTGTGTTATTATTTGTGACCTGGTGGTCCAAAGAAAATCCATCTACACCCTGAGGAATAAGAAACAGCGACTTTCCAGAAAGCTAAAGTTGATGGAAGCCTCTTGCTAATAAAAGGCATTTTTTTTTATCAAAAGTAATCCAGACATGATAGCATGTCTCTTCAGTTCCAGTTCTTTGGAGTCATAGGCAGTGAAATCTTTGTGAGTTTGAAACCAACCTGGTCTATACAGATTTCTAGACCAGTCAGGGTTACATATTGAGAGCCTATGTTAAAAAGAAATAAAGAAAGAGAAATGGTTAAAATATATTGTTACTTTATGTTACTTGGATAGGAAGTAAAGTAAGCATGGAAAAAAGTCCATAGGAGAGAATAGTATCTAGAACCATTACTTACCCTCAGAGGTCCGAGTGTATACATGTTCATGGGTGTACATGTGTATGGACCACAGGAATGTGAGTGTGTGTGTGTGTATGTGAGTGTGTGTGTGTGTGTGTGTGTGTGTGTGTGTAGGCTAGAGGTTGACTTAGGATGTCATCCTCAATCACTTTTCTACCTTACACTAGAGACAGGATCTCTCCTTGACTGGTTAGCTGGCTGGACTAGCCAGTCCTGACTAAGTCCCTGGGATCCTTCTGTCCCTGCTTCCCCAGTGTTGGGATTACAGGTACACTCTGCCATGCCTGGCTTTTTGGTTGGTTGTTGGGATCTGAACTGAGGTCCTCATACTTATGTGGCAGACACTATACAGACTGAATCATCTCTCTATGCCTTTAACTTCTGCATTTCAACAGACCTTGCTCTAGGGATGGCTGGGGTTTGGGTAGAGTAAGGGCTGAGCTCCCGTGAGCTGTGCTGTATGGTGCTGACCTAAAATGGCCAGAGTGAGTCTCCCCACCACCTTCCACACAAACTTACCTCATTTGGATCAAAGATAGGGGAAGGTGCAACAATTCCATTGATTTTGGCAGCTCTGCGGATGATCACCTCTGCCTCTTTAATCCGGCCTTGAGAGATGAGCCATCGGGGGGACTCAGGGATACACCTGAAAGTACACGTGCATTCTAGTGATGCCTCCTGTCGCGTGCTTTCCTAGAGGCTGGGCATGCTTGACTAGAGACGGGAAATGAGGTTTCAGGTGCAGAGGGAGTGTGTGGAGTGATGGAGGAGGGTCACCTGTCTATGTGTTACTCTCATTGGTTAATAAAGAAACTGCCTTGGCTTTTTTTTTTTTTTTTTTTTTTTTTTTTTTTTTTTTTGGTTTTTCGAGACAGGGTTTCTCTGTGGCTTTGGAGCCTGTCCTGGAACTAGCTCTGTAGACCAGGCTGGTCTCGAACTCACAGAGATCCGCCTGCCTCTGCCTCCCGAGTGCTGGGATTAAAGGCGTGCGCCACCATCGCCCGGCTGCCTTGGCTTTTTGATAGGGCAGGATTTAGATAGGTGGAGTAGACAGAACAGAATGCTGGGAAAAAGAAAGCACAGATGATCAGACGCCATAGCTCTCCTCTCCAAGATGGACGCAGGTTAGAATCTTACCAGTAAGCCACCACTTTGTGGTGCTACATAGATTATTAGAAATGCGTTAACCAAGATGTGAGAATTAGCCAATAAGCACCTAGAACTAATGGGCCAGGCAGTGCTTAAATGAATAGTTTGTATGTTGTTATTTCGGGTATAAAGCTAACCATGCAGGAGCTGGGCAGGACAAAAAGCAAATCTGCTCACCTCCTTCTACAATCAGGTGTTTTCATAAGCCAGAAAATAGAGATGGGCCAGCACTCCCTAAGCTATGAGTTCTGCTGAACACTGACTATGTGAGGAAAATTCATCCTGCACATCCCAAGGGGATCTCCACTCTGGCTGGCACCTGCCCGTCTGCAGCAGTGCTGCCCCCTTGAGGGCTTTAAGGAGACAAGCACAGGATGGGCTCCTGGTGCAGAGAGTTAGGCACAGCCAGATCCTGCCATCTTCTACTCTGTCCCCGACATCCACAGAAACTTGCAGCGATCACTTGACATCATTTCTTCCTCAGTCCACCTCTGATTTTGGACTCGTCAGTCTCTTTCCACAAAGCAGCATGGGTATCAAGGCTGGAGTCTTACTGGATATTTTCCTTGTCCCCAGGCAGCCCTCTCTCCGCTGTCATAATCAGGAGCCATAATGCACTATTTTTCTTCCCCCACTAGTCTCCAGGGTGCTCACCACTGTACATGGATGAGGATCTCACCTTAGTCCAATCTAGTGTAAGGAGTGATTCCTGCCTGGTTCCTCTGTCAAGTTCCATGGCTTATTTCTGAGGCCTATGCTCTGCCTGATCAATGGCCCTCTGTTGGAAGTGTAGCTGGAGCCTGCATTCCTCTGCAGAGCCACTCAAGGAAGCTCACTTCTGAAGCCCTCCCTTTCTTTACCTCCCGACACCCATGCCTGGAGCCACAGCATCAAGCATCTACAGCCCAGGTCTTGCTGTCTTGTACGGGGATCTGAGAATTCCCCAGAGGTTAGGTTGGCCCCTATCTGCATGCAGCAAATTCTTAGTTCAGCCTAGAACAGGGCACAGGACTAGCAGGCTTTTCTGAGTATGGAGAGACTTTCTGACCTGATTTATAAATAATATTCACTTGGTTTTTCTGGGATCTGGAATTGGGGTTTGTGAACTACTGCTGCCCTCTACTGGACATGAGACAGAAGCCTCCCCAAAGGCAGTCGGCCCAAGGGGCGGGGCCACACTTACCACCAGAGAAGCCCACACAACACTCCTGGCAAAGTGATTGCCAGCAACAGCATCCGCCAGTCTCTGATGAAGTATGCAAAAAGAGGCAGCACCATGTAGCCAAATGCAAAAAATATGCACACTCCTAAGGTGGCGAATATAATTCGAATTGACTTGGAGAGAATTTCTGTTCCTGTTCAAAACAAGGGTGGAGTCAAGTTAACCTTAATTAGGGCTATTTTCTTACGATTTTTCTGTGGTATCATTTTCAGTGTAGAGACAAGGAGGGAGCCAGAGTTAGCTGTGTTTTAAGGCCCTGGGAAGGGTTGCATCTGAACTAAGTCTGCTTTGATTTTGCTCCTGGGTGTTTCTCTGAGGTCCCTGGGCAACAGTGCTCTCATGAAAACATCATCATCATCATCCCCAGCCACACATGCTAACTATTATCCTTCGAGGAAAATAGGATGTTCTAGGAAATATGAAAAGAAAGTAATAATGCTTTCCACAATACAACCTAAGGAACCCAATGATCTGATTGCTTCAGCAAGGCTCTTCCAAACAGGGAGACCAGAAGCTTTCCAGTGGGAACAAGGTGGCTAGTCTGAGTCAGAGCCTTGAAGGGTGGACTCTGACAGAACCTTAACTGGACCTCTCAGCTCACTGTCCTTAGCAGACACTGACAGCCACCAATGCTCTTTGGCATCTCCCTTTCCTGGGGAGCCCGCCCTTCATGCCCCCCCCCCCCCCCCGCTGGTGTGCCTCCTTCTTTCCTTAGCTACCTAGGCCCTTGCCTTGCAAGTCTTTAAGAATGGATGCCCCGTGGTGAATCCTAGTTAATGGCTTAAGTACTAATAAGGCCAAGGGGCCACAAGTCAGAGGCCAGAAGAGAACTGGACATCAGAAGTCAGAAATCATTGTCAGGCTCAATTTCCCAGCTGGTAAGCTAGGTTTATTTACTGGGGGAATTCTAGCCAGTTTTCCCTGAGGGACATCACAACTTGTCTCCAGAAAAGTGAAACACAGTATATAGAACTGAACTCCAACTGATGTCCATACCCAGGACAAATGCTGCCACATAGTTGGATATATGACCCATTCCAACAAGGGTATACAGCGCAGTAAACATCTCGAAGTTCACAGAGAAGACTTGCAGGAAGCTGAACCCTGTGTGCATAGCCATGGTCCAAAACAGCACATTTTTCCGACCAAACCTGGGGAGGAGAAGAGGATCACAGATAAACAGCTGAGAGAGGCAGCAGCAACTGGTTTCACTGAGAGGTGCTTTCTCCTATTATAAGGACTGGCACCAGGATGGTTCTACTCTCTGTCCCCATGCTGTCACTGATACTTTCCAGGATGAATTTGTAGCCTGGACATTCAGGCTGCTCCAAAGGCAGTACCTCACTCATGCTAGTGACTACAGGGGCTAGAAAGGCATTTGTTATGTTTAAATCCACATATTCATAATAACTTTAAAGACAAAATACATGTTAAAAAACTCGAATATATAGTTGCTTGACAATTTGTCTTTTGTAACATATTGAGTATATTCTCTCCCAAGTGAATTCTTTTTTTGGGGGGGGGTGTTTCGAGACAGGGTTTCTCTGTAGCTTTGGAACCTGTCCTGGAACTAGATCTTGTAGAGCAGGCTGGCCTTGAACTCACAGAGATCTGCCTGTCTCTGCCTCCTGAGTGCTGGGATGAAAGGTGTGTGCCACCACCGCCCGGCTCAAGTTAAAAAAAATTAACTGCATTATTTACATTTTAAAGAAGGGTCTGAGAAATAAATGCACAACAGAAATTTCATATACTTTACACAATTAAATAGACATTCACACATATTTTGATAAACATAAAATAGTCACTTGTATATAACATTCAGGAGCAAAGTATTTATAAATACAAAGAAATGGCTCAAAGTCCGCAATGTGGTAACAGACATGCCTGGCAATTGTGTGCACTCAGATTTAATAACTGTAGGTGGCTGAAGCAACCATGTAACCTGAGTCTTTCTTCTGTGATACCAGGGTCAGAAACCTTGTTCTAGGTCAGTGTTTTACTATTGAGGTATACCCCAGTTCACAATTCCAACCTTTTCATTTTAAACTTTTCTTTCATTTTTATTTATTGGGGTGCACCCAAGTGGAGATCAGAGGGCAACTTATGAAGTTGATATCTCCATCCATCATATGAGTACTGGAGGTTGAACTCAGGTCATTATTTTTGCCAGTAAGCACATTTATGTTGAAAATGTAAAAGGTCACCAGACATGCAATCTGATTGTTTTTTCTGCTTGAGTTAAAAAATTTTAATTTTATGTTTATAGGTGTTTGGTCTGCATATATGTCTGAGCATAATATTTATGCTTGGTACCCCTCAGCGGTCAGAAGAGAGCATTAGATCCCCTAGAACCAGAGTTACAGATGGCTGTGAGCCTTTATATAGGTGCTGGAAATTAAACCTAAGCCCTGCAAAAGCAGTCAGCACTCTAAATGTCTGAACTGTCTCTCCAGCCCCCAATATTTGGGAAAACAAACAAACAACCCTAAAAAACAACAACAAAACCCTCCGTGGGTCACCCAAGGGGCTGAGATCTGGAGAAATTTTTATCTTTCTCAAGTACAGATATACAAAAAAATCCATCTCTTCATTTATTGTGGAAGTACAATAGTATCTATTGGAAATGATACAAATATGAAATATGTAGCATAATGGATAATAGATAATGATGCAAATATGAAAAGCATAATGAATTACAGATAATGATACTGGTAATTCAAAATAATGAGAGGAGATGAACATAGTTCAGTGGCAGAGGGCATGCCTAGCAAGCACCAGGACCTGGATTCAACTTCCAGCACAAATGAAAAAAAAAAAAAACTACAAAAACAACCCGACATACAAAACCGTTTATTACAGGGACAGATTATGGGCAACTGCATGAAGGCGGTCAGAGGAGCAGCAGACTTGCATCAGTATCTACAGTGCAGACTGCTGTCTTTCTTAGATTAGCATGCTTCTGTTTTCTTTTGGTCATGGTTCTTTTTGGAGAATACATTCACCCACACTGTCTGCATGGAGGACCTTCTCCTCAGTCCATGTAGACTCGCACACTATGGGAAACACCCTCGGATACACCTGAAACAAAGCTTTATCAGGTTTGTAGGTGTCCATCTGCCTACTGTGTTGCAGTTTTCCTGAGTACCATCAAAAAACGCATCAATCCCTTCCCTGGACGTAAGCTGTCTGCTCTCTTTACATATCTTCTTTACAACAAGAATCTCATTTTGGAGGTTTTCTTTGGTGTGTGTGTGCGTGTGCGTGTGTGTACATGTTCTCCTGTGCACGTGTATTTATGCATGTAGAAACTAGAGGTCAATCTCAGTGTCATTATTCAGAAGCTGCCCACATCATTTTTTTAAACCTATTTCTGGGAATTTCACGTCATGCACCCCAACCCCACCCATCTCCCCGTCCCTCCACATCCCTCCCTCACCCCTGCAGCACACCCCCCAAATTACTTAAAACAAAAACAAACAAAACTCACCTCACTCCTCCGTCTTTCTAATACCTCTTCATTCATTCTACTGGTACCAGGAATTGTGGCACTTCATGTAGTATGTCCAATCAGCCCCCACTCGCAAAATATTCATTGCAATGAGCCACTGGTTTAGTTTAAGGCCTCTGGTACAGCATCATCACTGCACTTTTGCTGAAACTCCTCTCAGATAGCCTGCTGTTGCCTGCAGTTATCACTGCAGCACTAGTCCCTTCCCGCACTCCAGCATGTCAGAGATGGGGTAGATGTCTAGTCAGTGTGGGCCAACCCAAGGCTCAGGATGTGGGTCTGGGTGGTAGCTGAGTTGACCTGTCAGGCGAGGGACAGAGCCAGCTCTCTTAGGCTCCTACCATTAGGGCCATGTCTCCCCAGTACGGGTAGACGGGAGCTTTTTCATAGGGGTGCAGGGCTAGCTCTCCTTCTGCAGTGTCCAGCAAGGGGCAGAGCCAACTATTCCAGGGCCAGGGAGGGACAGGCTTGGCTCAGTATGGCCCTTGCATTTCAACAGACATGGTTCCGATGACCCGCTATGGCAACATGGGCCATGGACATCATCACAGATCCCTGTTGCAGTAGGAACATGGCCCCCAATTGCAGCTTAGGCCCTGATGTCACCATGGCCCTGATGGCAGCATGGCCCCGGGAGCAATAAGGCCCTTGGACACCAATATGGACTCAGGTGGCTGTCCAGATCCCGGAATCTGCACAGCCCCAGCGGTATCAGGAGTCACAGAACATCAACACAGACCCTGGCTGTAGCAGGGCCATGGACTCAGACATGGTCACTGGCAGCAGCTGAGGCTCACCATGGCTCTATGTGGCGGCACAGGCCACTCAGATTGGCATGCCTCCTGAGTACTATGGCCCTTGGACACCAACATGGCCCTAGGTGGTGGCCCAGACCCTTAGCATCTGCATGTCCTTTCATCATATCAGAAGCCACAATCATCAACAAAGAGTCTGGATGCAGTGGGGCCTTGGACCCAGACATGAACCTCAGCTGCAGCCTGGGCCTAGACATTACCCTGGCCCCAGTGTCAGGCAGGTCACCAACATCAGTCAATTCGTCACCACCCTCAGTTCTTCAGAACTGCCTCTTACCATAGCACAAGAACAATTCTGCTTCTCTTTCTCTCCCATTTCTCTACCATAGACTTGCTCATCATAATGGCAACTACCTACCTGGTGCTCAAGGCACTTGGTGGGTCTGTGAATGCCTTCAGGTACATCAGACTATGAGGACCCAGGCAGCCCCATTGGTGACTTTTGCTTGCCTGAGCCACATGGCATCAGGTGACCCTTGGATCTGTCTGCCTCATTTTGAGACAGGGTTTCTCACTGACATCTAGAACTCACCCATTAGCTTAGGGTGGCTGGCCAATAAGCTCCTGCTCCTGCCCTTTCATCCCTGGGATTATAAAGCAAAGCCACCCAGCTGTTTACATGGAAGTGGTTCTTCTATAACCTTATTCAATGGAAGCTTTTTTGCAGATTTTTGTTTTGAATAATGTGTACATATATGTTTGTGGGGTAGGGGATACATACATGTGTCAGTACAGGTGCTCATAGAGACCAGAAAATGAGATCCCCCACAGCTGGAGCTGGAGACAGCTGAGAGCTGCCTAATGTGGGAACTGGGAATAGAACACAGGGCTCTGCAAGAGCAGTGAGCACTCACTGCTGAGTGCTTCTCCGGCCTGGAAGTGGTTACTCACGGGTGCTAACTTGGGTGGGGCAGACACTGGATGGGCTTCTGAGGCACAAAGTTCTACTGCTTGACTTGCTGGTAGTTGTCAGGCCACTCCATTGTGGTTGAACTGTGACAATGACAGAATCTAAAGTAATTTGGCTTCCAGAACTAAAGTACCATTACCCAGAGCCATCTCTCCCACCCACAGACCTCATTTTTAAAGGCTGTCAACAAAATGGCAAAATACACATTTACAAAACCAGGAACTATTAATCTACTTCTTCCCAGTGTTGAACCTCTCATAATACAAAATGATAGCCTGATATTGTCACATAAAAGACATGACAATGGGCTAGGCAGTGATGGTGCATACCTTCAATTTCAGGCAGTCAGATTTCTGTGTTTGAGGCTAGCCTAGTCTATGGAGTGAATTTCAAGACAGCTAGGGCCACACAGAGAAACTCTATCTCAGGGAGGGGGGAAGGCATGACAATATAAAATTATCTTAATTCCGACTTAATAATATTCCAGGAAGAAAGCTCAACATTTCTCCCATATTAAAAAGTTACTGCTGTTCCTCTGAACACCAACTGAGGCCATAATCTGGTTTAATTGTCAACCTCGTACTCAGAAGTAGTGAGGTGCAGAGCTGTCCTCACAAGCCCTAGCATGTCTCTGGCTGTGCAACAGGCTATGGTAATGCTGGGCGCTGCAGGCGAGGACCGCAGTCAGAACATAGCACTCAGTGCTTTCATTTCCAGGCTGAGCAAGCTTGCTTAAAAGAGATTTCAGGTGCAAAAGCCAACACACACACACACACACACACACACACACACACACACACACACTCAGAGAGGGGTGTCATGTATCCCAGGCTGGCCTGTAAGTCACTGTAACTGAGCATGACCTTAAACTTGTAATCCTCCTGCCTCCGTCTTCTAAGTGCTGGAGTTACAGGGGTGCACCATCACACCTGGTTTATTCGGTGTGTAGATCAAAACCTAGGGTTTCATGCATGCTAGCCAAACACTTCACCAACTGGACTATATCCCTAGCTCCCTGCCTCAAAAATTTGAGGTCTCCAACACACTCCATCTCCCCTCTGTAGGGAAGGTGATGCCTAGCATGCTCATGAATTTTGTTTCCATTGTTTCTTTGGGAGCAAACCCTTTAGTGTGGGACTTCCCCTTTCCTCAGGTGATCATAGTGTTCCATGCATGGCATACAGGTTAAGATGGCTCATAAAGATCTATGTAACCTAGCACACAACTGGCATGGTTTCTACACTCAGCTTGGGCACTTCCTCCTTGATTTTGACATAAAATCAATTCCTTTGAGATTCAGTGGTCATTCTACCCTTAAATTCCTCACTTCTACCTGAAGAACCTCTCAGCCTGCTCCTGCCCCTCCTCTGCCATTACACCTACAGGAACCTCTCACAGAATCTCTCTTGTAATCACCCCAAATTCAATACCTTCCTATTGTATCCAATGCCTCCCCTGCAAATGTGGTTCTTTGTCTTAGCTATGAAGGCCAGCGGCCTTTTCTGTCCGCACTCCCTATAGTCAGCAAGTCTTCCTGATTTCACTCTCATCTCTCCATCCTTGGTCCTATGCTCAGCTCCTATCATCTTCTGAAAGAAGCACTGAAAATATTTTAATTGATCCCTTAAGTTCTCTCTTGTAAACTGGGTGTGGCAGTGCACGCCTTTAATCCCAGGACACAGGAGGCAGAGGCAGATAGATCTCTGTGAGTTCAGGCTAGCCTGATCTACAAAGGGAGTGCCAGATAACCAGTGCTGTCCAGAAGAGAAACCTTGTATTGAAAAAACAAAACACCAAAAACTAAAAGGAGAGAGAGAGGTTGTGTGTGTAAGAAAAAAGGTCTCTCTTATTTTCCTTCCATCAATACTAGACTGTCAAATTCTTTTTTAAAATGCATGTCACACTCAAGTTTAAAAAAAAATAACAAAAAAACTCTCAAGGCTTCTCACTGAACCTAAATGCCTCGTTGTGATCTGAGCTAAGCCCAGTTTGCCCATCTGCTCAGGCCTCTGCCTGCCTCTGGCCCTTTGTTTCCACCCTACTCTCCAGACATCAGCCACAGTGGACTTCTATTCCCCAGCCTCGGTCGAGACTTTAATGCATGGCTGTTCCTCCTGCCTGGAATCTCTTCATCTCTCCATCACTTTTGACACAAATTTCTACTCATCTTTCCACTCTCAGCTCATGCTTTGCTTCTCAGTAAAGCCTCCTCTGGCCCCGTCAGACACTCTCACAGTACCCTAGCCTCTGGTATTATTATTTCCCATTGCCAAGGAAAACAATCACTTCCTCAGTAAGTTGAATCCGTCTATCTGCCTTGCCAATAGGCAAGTTCCAGAAGTCTTTAACAGTAGTCTAGAAAACCAAAGGATCAAGTCTTTCTGGGCCTCAGTATAACCAGATACTTGCCCCTATGTAACCTAACTATCATGTTTAACTTTCCCTTCCTATAGAATGGGAATAACAGTTCCTGCTTCAGAGGGTTGTAAGGATATGGTTCCCTCTTTGGCATTTAGGGTTTGCTGTATGTAGAACAGTGTTTGACACTCATTACATACTACATATTTGCTAAACCAATGAAAGCCATCTGTTGATGCTTGTTACTAGATTAAGAGAAACATCATTTTCCAGCAGGGTAATCCAGAGTTGGCAATCTATGGTCACAGCTTACTGACCTCTTTAGTTTTTAATTTTTCCTGTCTCTGTGAAATAGTGTTCCTCAGGGTAACAGCTGTTCTAGAACACACTGCTAGTCTCAAACTCAGAGAACCACCCATCTCTGCCTCCTCAAGTACTGAAGAAGTGTGCCACCACAACTGGCAGCCTACTGACCTCTTTAATGCACCCTGGTAGCTTTGAGTATTTTTGTTTTTAATCACTTGGTGACTCCTGAAAATAAATCTAATGAAATACACACTTACGTAAATTTTCATTAGCTGAGTGTGCTGGTACATTCTTTTATTTCTAGCATCAGGAAGGTGTGCGGGAGGAATGCCCCAAGTTTAATGTCATCCTGGCCTACATAACAAATACCAGGTCACGTAAGGCAAGAAAGACCTTATCTAAAGAAAAAAAAAAAGGACCCACAAAAAGCAAATGTAAGCCTCATGAATTCAGTTGGATCTCTGAAAGTAAAAGTGAGATTACACAGTTTTCTCCTGACCTCCAAATGCATGTTTTGGCATTCTGGCATACATACATCTCCTCCAATATATATACACAAATAATAAATAAAAACATACAAAACAACACACAAAGCCCCAAAATTTTGAGTAATGAAGTGACGATGCTCCATAGATAAAAATGTGTAATCATATCACATTGAGTGTATGTGACAGAGCAATGCAGCTTTACTTCCCAGACAGAATAACATTCTGTCTCTGCCTGGACTTTTCTCTGAGCTGGATGCTACTGGGTATAGAAGAATTCTATCGGAGCCACCATGGCCAAAGCTCCGGAGCAAGCCTCTCTTCTGACCTTCAGGAGTCTGTGATAGATCATAAAGCTCCAAGAAAGGGATATAGCATAATAGACCCTTCTGAGAACTTCACAAAAGCTACTGACCTTGATCAAACATAACAACAACTCTGCATCCCTAACCGTTTGCATATAATTTTATGAGTTGTTACTTTTGGCTTCTGAGACAGGTTCTCATTGAGTAGCCCAAGATGGCCTTGAACTCTCGCTCCTGTGGCCTCAGCCATCTGAATACTGGAATTACAGGTGTACACCACCACCCACTGCTTTAATTTCAAGTTTTTAAAAATTCTCTGAGCCATTGATATAACTCAGATAAAAGCTTTAAATCTGGCTGGGCGGTGGTGGCGTACGCCTTTAATTCCAGCACTCGGGAGGCAGAGGCAGGCGGATCTCTGGGAGTTCGAGGCCAGCCTAGTCTACAAGAGCTAGTTCTGGGACAGGCACCAAAGCTACAGAAAAACCAAAAAAAAATCTGTATAAATACCATGCTTGTAACAAATAACAATCATTATCCTGGTCATACAGTAAGAGCTATAATCACAGGCCACTTACCTAAGGGACACCAGAGTTCTGCTCCTCACACCACCAACTGACTGGTGAGATCTCAATCTTCTCTTACCTTCTCAGGGAGAAAGAATCCTATCTTTAGAATACAGAGGTGGGCACCATGGTTATTGCCTAGTGCTCTACAATACAGCACATCCACATGGATAGCAACAACCTCTCTTTCCCTTTTTTTTTCATACGAGAGTGCTATAATCTCCCAGGGAAAGGAGGCCACAGGTATATAGAAGTGAATCATGGCAAGGCAACTGGTCATTGGACCATGGGTACACATGGTTTCTCTGCTCAACAAGAACTGGGAAATTATATGAGAGGTTGGCCCATTTGGAAGTTGTTGGAAGTCCATGCTAGACATAGATGCTGCTGCTTCTGAAACAAATGGCCATAGTCTAAGAGAACACCATCAGCTAAAATCAAAGGAAAGGAACATACTCCTTGATCAGTACCAGACACCTTACCTGTCTGAGAGCTGTCCCGAAATGAAGGAGCCTAAGAGCACACCCACGTAAAAGAAGGAGGTGGTGAGAGGGCCTTTCCAGTCATCGTTACACACCAGGTTCCACTGTAGGAAAAGCAAAGTGATGCATCACTCACTTCTTTTCTGAAATGTAAGGTTTCTTGTTAAATGAACTGGAATACCCTGCATCCCTGAATGTTCTGAGTATATGTGCTCACTAACACAAGCAATGGCTCATCTGGGCAGCAATGCAGAGAAAGCAGGTGCCTCCCCGCCATCTTGTCTCTCATAGACTATTGCTTGCCTTCCACAGAGCCTGCTGCCTCCCCAGCACTCAGCAGAGGCTGGGAGAGTGCTGCTCTCACAGAGAATGTCTTCTAGGCTGGTGGCAGAGGAATAAACAGCTGGGCCTCTCTGCTGTCCTGGGTTCATGCAGTCTACCTGTACCTGGGTGTGAAGGGCAACCAACTGGCTGCCCATAAAGAACCTCCATTGCTGTCTCAGGCATACTACTAGCTCTTCACTTTGGAGTAACATGTACTTTAGGATGAGTTAGGATGGGTGGTGATCCCAACCCAGGGGATAATTGTGGATAGCTGATCTCCAAGTCAAAAAGGAAGCAGAGACCAGCAGGAGTCAAGCATGCTGAGCATCAGGACCTAGATGCTCTTGCTCCTCCAGGCTCCACCTGCCTTGGTGGTGCTAGCACCCAGATACTAGGTTCCTATAGTGACCACCATCCATATGTGACTGCTAAAGCCATATGAATGGTTTGAGTCCTAAAGCTGAAGGAGTCAATGATGGCAGGCAGAGGGTGAGCTTCTGTGAAGCTGTTTGTCATAGGTTACATTATGGCTATTGTCATTCTCAAATATGATAAAATGTATTACTTCTACTAAAACAAAGATGAAATGAGGGTAAGTTGCTGGATTGTGATGGTTTGTGACTGATACATCCATGCTAGACAAGAAATCCATTCAGAAGAAGATTGGGATGAAGCTGAGTTGGTAGAGTGCTTGACTAGCATACATGAAGCTCTGGTTCAATCCTTAGTATTGCACAAAGCATGTATGGTGATTCATGCGTATAATCCCAGCACTTGGGAAGAAGAATCAGAACGTCAACATTCAAGGTTGTTAATATCAAGGTTAATCTGGGCTACATCAGATCATGTCTTTTGTTAAAAAAAGGGAGGAAGATGTGGAGGAGGAATGGTAAAAAAGGAAAAGAATGTACCATATTTTCTTTATCCATTCTTCAGTTGTTTCCAGGTTCTGGCTACGACAAATAATGCTGCTATGAACAGCTGAGCAAAGTCCTTGTGATATGAGTGTTCCCTAAGCAATTCTGGATAGGTTGCTTGAACTTGCCTTCCCCTGTAATCAGATTGATGACTATCTTAATGGTCATAGAGCCTGAAGGAAGCAGATGCAGAGATTCACAGTGAAGTACTGGGCTGAGTTCCCAAAGTCTAGTCGAAGAGAGGGAGGAACAATAATATGAGCAAAGGATTCAAGACCATGATAGGGATACACACAGAAACAGCTTACCTGAGCTAGTGAGAGCTCACTGACTCTGGACTGACAGCAGGCTCAAACTAGGCCCTCTGAATGTGGGTGACAATTGTATGGCTGGAGCAGTCTGTAAGGGTACTGGCAGTGGGACCAAGAATTAGCCCTAGTGCTTGAATTGACTTTTTGGAGCCCATTTTCTTTAGAGGGATACCTTGCTCAGCCTAGATATAGTGGGGAGGGCCTTGGTCCTGTATGAAAGCCATGTGCCAGATTTTGTTGACTCCCCATGAGAAGCCTTATCTTCTCTGAGGAGTGACTAAGGGATGGGGTGGAGGAGAAGGTGGGGGAGCAGGAGGAGGGGAGGTGGTAGAAACTGGGATTGGTATGTAAAATGAGAAAAGATTATTTTAAAAAATAAATTTAGATTTAAAAAAAGGAAAAGAAAATGTACACAGGATTCTACAATTGAGTTCTAGAGTTGTGGACCTCAATAAGTCTCCCAAACACACTTTCAAGGCTGGATAGCATATAAAAGCAAGTCAAACTCATCTATAGGCAGGCATGGGAGCATCTTTCAGGCTTTCACTTCCGCTGCTTGATTTATCCTGTCCTTAGTCTGGGTAAGAGGTGAACTCAATGAAGTAACTATGCTGTCACCCACCACTGACAGTGTTGGGAGCATAGCATGAAGGTCCTTGTACCCACAGATAACCGGAGAAACCAGGAATGTTAAGCACACAGGATTGTTTTTCCAATAAGAAAGATGAAAAACCTCTTCTTCCATCCAGAAAGCTGAGACTTGCAAGCGATTAACTGCTTGGTGATTTGTGTTATCTGTCTGACCAGGTCATAGGCCATATCAAGCTCCTACAACTAGGACTGGAGGTGGCTAGTAATCTCAATGACCCTGATAGCCAGAGGCTCCCCCAGCTCCTACAACTAGGACTTGGGATGGCAAATAGCCCAAATGACATCTATGCTATCTATATGACAGAGTAGGCCAGACCCTTAGGCCCTTAAACTAGTACAAACAGCCTATCTCTAGAACCCATCTTCTTGGATGAAATGACTTGTACCCTGAGTTGCATTTCAACGTAATTGCTCTTCTTTGTACACTGGGAATTGTATTACACCAGGAAACTTTTCCCCAAAAATTGTACTAGGCTTAAATATATTGGGAATAAACCATCAAAGTCTGATCCAGTTTGATGAAGTCAATTTGAACTGGGTTTTCATTCTTATCTCTTTACAGGGTTTTCTTCCCTACCTGGACACCTACAGGGACTCCCACTGACAGTTCCTGATACCTCTCAGGGCCTGGCTTACATTAATATTTGTCTCCTACTGGCTATAGGGAGCCTGTGAATAGTCAGCTAAGGACAAGAGTTCTCAAAAGCACAGGGTGAGTCCCACCTATTCATTTACCTGCCAACCTTCATATCCAATGCAATAGGCATTTCGACTTGGCCTGAATTCTTGTTGGAGGGGTGGGATCATAGTCAAAGTTACGCATTCCTGCTTGATGAGCTTACACATGAACCTAGTATTCCTGTACTCATCTGGCTACTCAGCTATAACTAAAGCACTCGAAGGCTAGACCATCAATGCTTCTTCTACTTGGTAGGTGGCTCTGTAGTACTGGCCATGCATCAAGCATCATAGATGGAGAACTGGAAGAAGGGACCCAAACTTGGAGAATCGAGAACAGCTATGACCAGGGTCCACACTTCTTTCTAGTCAGAAATGTGTCTCTCTAGTAGTAGTGGGTTCAAGGGTATGTTAACATAGGTGCCAGAGCTCTCCAAACTGTCCACTTAGATAGACTCTTTATCTCAATTATGTCTCAATCACTGATGAGTTTTTTGTCAGAGGATCCCATGCCCTCTTTTGCCACTTCAAGCATGTGGTACTTCAAACACATGCATGCAGAATACTCACAAAGATAAATCTTTAAGAAAAAACAACAACTGTTGGGCTTTTATAAAAGAAGATATGGTTTTTTTATTATGTAATACATATGTAGTATATGTGCATGTATGTCTGTACAGGCCTTTATACCTACATACATGGAGACTAGAGGAGTATGTTGGTTATCCTGCTTTATTCCTTTGAGATGGGGTCTCTCACTAAACAGCATAGCTATGCTTGGCTCCCTCCACACTCTTGCTTTCTGAGCCAGGGCTTCGCTGTGGTCTCAAACTCAGAGAGCCACCGCCTCTGCCTCTTGGAGTGCTGATACTAAAGGTGTGCCCCACCACGCCCAGCTTTCTATTTGTCTTTTTAAAAATGATTTTAAAATTTTGTCTATGACTTTTTAAACTTTATGTGTTTATGTGAGTGTATGTCACATGTGTATACTTGCCTGTGTAGACCAAAAGGTACTGGATCCTCTGGAGCCAGAATAACAGGTGGTTGTGAATTGCCCATGGGTGCTAGAGACAGAACTCAGGTCCTCTGGATGAGCACAAAATGATATTTAACACTTAGACATCTCATAAGCCCCACACCCCTTTCCTGGTGTGGGACAATTGTCTGTATTCTGTCAATTATATTTTAAATAAACACTGATTGGCCAGTAGCCAGCAGGAAGTATAGGTGGGTCAATGAAAACAGGAGAATTCTGGGAAGAAGGAAGTCCTAATGTGCAGTCCTGGCCCAGCAATGGAACAAGCAAGATGTGATTGCCCCACCGAATAAGGCACCAAGTCACGTGGCTAACACAGACAAGAATAATGGGCTAATATAAGTTATAAGAGTTAATAAGAGCCTGAGCTAATGGGCCAATCAGTTTATAACTAATGTAGAACTCTGTGTGATTTCTTTGGGATTTAATGACTGTGGGAACCGGGCAGTATAGAAACCTCAGATAATACTTTCCTTCCTTTTTTCCTCCCTCCCTTCCTGCCTTTTTTCAATGTGGGAGCTGGGATCCAGTGTCAGCAAGCATACTTACCCTGAGTCACCTCTCAACTTAAAGAGGCACATCTCTACCTCATATATAATGAATATTCTTTTCAACAATGGGAAGAAAGGGGTGGGAGAAAGAGAGAGGAAGAGAGGGATGAATGGAGGGAGGAAGGGAGGGAGGGAGAAAGAGAGGATACAGTCTTCTGAGACTAAAATGTTCTTGCACCCATGAACCAGCTGGAAGAGAAAAGTGATAGGATCTATGACCAAGAGGCACAAGTCTCCCTGAGATGTACCTAGTGTGTCTGCATCAGTGACCAAGCACACTAGCAGGTCTCACTTCCTATTGATACTCATTAATCCCTAAAACATTGTGTTCTGTCCCCTACTACAATTAATGGTGAATCCTATTACAATTAATGGTGAGAGTTTATAGTCCCAACAATCAGGAATCTGAAGCAGAAAGATCACTTGTGGTCAGCCTAGTCACCTTAGCAAGACTCAATTTCACAAAATAAAATTGAAGAAGAAATTATAGTGGACCCTTGCTTCAGGGCTTTCAGGAAAGAGAAGTAGTACCTGCTCTAACAACCTCTGTCATGCCCACCATGCCCTGAACAGAGCAATGACCTGGGAACTAAATGATACATGGCTGAGTGGCTCAATGAATAAAAGGGCCACTGCCCTTAAACACCATCATTTCCTTTACAGTGTTTGCCCATCTGCACAGAGTACAGATGAGCACCAGACTTTCATCTGTAGGATGAATTCTTTTCTTTGCTCTATGACTCCTGACTGTGTCATTATTGAACCCTGACCCAGAGTGCTGGTTCTCAGTAAGAGAGGGCTCAGTGTCACTGCTCCCATCAGCTGTGTCTACTATGGCTGTGTGTGCACAAGAAGTTAGGGCCAGCAAGTGGCTTTGGTTTGCCATGTAGCTACCAAGGCAAAGATTAGTGTCTGTGGATCTCAGAAGTGGGCAGGGCGTGGGCAAGGGGGTGGCTAACACAGGTAAGCAGTAAGGTCCTGGCTCCAAGGTTCTCTGGTCTCTATTTTTCAGACTCATGCCAAACCCACCAACTAGGGTGCTAGGAGTTCTCATCCAGTGAGTTGTGGATAATGATGGGAAGAATTCCCATTTTCCAAGATGACCTAGGCAAGAAGCAAGACTGCTGGAAAAGCTAGTCTGGAACACCAGAGAACAAGTGGGAGTCCTGCTGATGCCTTGGCAAGAGACTCATGGAAAGCAGAGATGGGTATGGTGTAGGACAATGCAGAGCCATGCCAGACTTCAGCTGAAGGAGCCTGAACTCATAGGCACCAGAAAGCCATACAGAAATGTTTCTGCCTGCAGGCTTGGCAGGGTTTCTGTGAAACCACAGAGCAGGTGGCACAGCAATGTAAAAAACAGACAGGTTCTCAGAAGAAGGGGTAATCCTGGATCAGAAGTACAGCATGGTGGGTAGGAGTTGCCAAGTGTCCCAGAGATGAGTGAGGGGCAGGAAGAGGGGCCAGGCTACAAGCATGTAGCTCACCGAGCTTTCCTGAAATGTGGGCTCCAAAGCTCTCCAACCTCATAGAAGGGATCTCCTTTTTTTGGCCAACCCCACTGCCTGGTTTTCAACACACAAAAAGCCAAGTGGGGGAGGAGGGGAGAATCACATTTTCCTGAAAGCATTCCAGGCAATCTTGTAGCTCCTCAAGCTTATCTTGTGTCTATCAGTTAGTTCTTAAGCATTGTAAAAAGTCTCATAAATTATTTACCCAATCATCCAATAAAGATATTTCAATAAAAAATCTCCCTTATCCAGTACCCTGTCAAGATTCATGGAGAAATAGAAATCTAATCTATTGCAAAGTTTAGTATATCATGCATAAAATTTAACTCAAAAGTGAAAGAAGAGAAGGAAGAGAAGAAGAAGAAGGAGGAAGAGAAGGAGGAGGAAGACAAGAAGGAGGAGGAAGAGAAGAAGAAAGGAAGAAGAAAAGGAGGAATAGGAATAGAAGGAGGAGAAGGAAGAGAAGAAGGAGAATGAGAAAGAGAAGGAGAAGGAAAAAGAGAAGGAGAAGGAAGACAAGGAGGAAGAGAAGAATAAAGAGGAGAAAAGGAGAAGGAGGAGGAGGAAGAAGAAAAGGAGGAGGAAGAGAAGGAGGAAGAGAAAGAGGAAGAGAAGGAGGAGGAAGAGAAGGAAGAGGAAGAGAAGGAGGAGGAGTAAGGGAAGAAGGAGGAAGAGAAAGAGAAAGAGGAGGAGAAGGAGGAGGAGAATAATTATTCAATACTAGTGTACTTAAAAGACATCTACTTTGATTTGGGATAGAGGGCAGGCTTAGAGACATTTAGCAGGCAGGGGACTGACTAGCTGCTGTGGTCAGCAGGCTAGGTGTGGGTTGAAAGAGATCAGGTCTTGGAAAAAGTCATCAGAATGTTAAAGCAGCAGCTTTCAACAGCAGTTGCTCATCTAAGAGGACAAGCCTTGAACTTCAAGTCAGGCATTCCAGTATTCCCAAACAAAAGAGCTAAGTAAAGTATTAAACTCGCCTCCCGCAAAGACTGCTGACCTGTAAGTAGGTGAAAGGGCATACAGCTCTTACGAAACTGCTAAGACAGCTCAATAACATCCAGATCCATTGGGAAAAAAAAAAAAAGACACGATGACATTGGCAGCAGCGGTAGGTCAAAAGGATCTGGACTTTTGCTGCTTAGTTTTCCTCTGGGGAGCTCACCAGTACTGCGTCCACCCTAGGCAGCAAGCAGCGTGACAGTGAGTGAGGGCAAGTGACACAAGTGACCCAGTACCCTCAAGGTCAGGGTAAAAGTTCAAGAGATGTCAGTAAGTCCCTTCAGATTTCAACTGCCCATCTCTGGGCAGCCAGAAACAGATCTGAGGAATGGGTGTCACCCAGTAGCCTCTGTCAGATCCCACTTGCTTCCACGCACTGTGAGTTTGGAGACCAGGATGTGGAGCAACTGAGAATCTCTTCTCTGTGGACTCATAGATCAAAAGCACTAATCAACTTAGTCAGTACTGGCTTTTTGTTTTGTTTTTGCTTTGTGTAGGCCTGGATGTCCTGGGACTCACTGTGTAGACCAGGCTGGCCTGGAACTCATTGTGTAGACCAGGCTGGCCTGGAACTCACAGAGATCCGCCTGCCTCTGCCTCCCGAGTGCTAGGATTAAAGACATGTGCCACCACGGCCTGGCTAGCTTTTACTCTAACTACTTACTTAGGTAGCAGGTTTGGCACAGGTTTTGGAGACATCAACTCTCAACCTTTCAAAGAAATCAGGCACTGATTTTTGCAGGGATGCTCTCAGACTCTACCCTTGAAGGGTCACAACCCCCTGAAGCAACATACCTGGGAGCCTCCATAAGGAGGGAAGCTCAGTCTCTGGCCTCCAGGAGGCTTAGATGCCATACATGGATGGACCCCTAGCTTTTCCTTATTGCTATTGCTTTACATCCTCTTCTAACCATTTCTTGCTCTTGGATCTGGACCTAATGGCTAGGTTCACCAAGAAGTTATCTCCTCCAGGAGGCCTAACTGATCAATCCCTATCCCTGACATTCAGTGACCCTGATGCCCAACGGCATCACATAGGGCTCTTTCATTGTTCTGCATACTTAGTACTGCTGAGAGCCCAGGAAATGACAATTGGTGCCTAAGTCCCCAAAACACATCCACATGCACCGTTAAACAGCTTTCACAACTCCAGCTTAGAGACTCCAATGGGTAAGACAGAGTCACCGAAGAATAAAGAGCAGGGGGTTGAGGATTTAGGTTTCCATCATTCTCCACATGAAGGCTACATGCCATAATTAAACCCCACCAGTGCTCTTGTCTCAGAATACTGTGGAAAGGACTCCATATAAAGTCACTTATAATAGCCAGGCAGTGGTGTCATGCCTTTAATTTCAGCACTTGGGAGGTAGAGGCAGGTGGATCTCTGTGAGTTCGAGGCCAGCCTGGTCTAAAAGAGCTGCTTCCAGGACAGGCACCAAAGCTACAGAGAAACCTAGTCTCAGAAAACAAAACAAAACAAAACAAAACAAAAAAACAAAAACAAACCCAGAAGAAGGAAAAGTAAGAGCTAATTCTAGGACAGGCTCCAAAGACAAGGAAACCTGGTCTCAATCCCCCTCACAAAAGTCACCCTGAATAGATCTTCAGACCCAGGGGTCCTTAAGAAATAGCAATCCTCTGGTCTACAAGAGCTAGTTCCAGGACAAGGCTCTACAGCCACAGAGAAAAACCCTGTCTCAAAAAACCAAAACCAACCAACCAACCAACCAAACAAAAAACCCCAATTTCTTATGGGGCATCTTTCCTCTTTCATGGGGAATCCTCATGGGGCATCTCTCACGGGGCATCTCTCATGGGGCATCTCTTGAGGCGTTTCTCATGGGGCAGGATGAGACTTCATTTGGGGTGAGGATGGGTGAAGGAAGGAGAGTAACTAGAGAAAAGGAAGAGAGTTTGGGACACATGCTTCCTTAACTTAGAAAAGTTCTGCTGAACATCCCTTTCTGAACACAGACGCTGAGAAGGAGGCACTTCCCTGGACCAAGTCCTAGGCTCCTCTGGATCACATCACTAGACAAAGTCGCACCACTCAGAGCCTTAGGGCTTCTAGAAGCAGGACCTTCTGGACTTCATCTTCAATGTGGCTCTAAGGACGGATGGCCAGCCTGACACTTGTGCTCTGAGGGACATACCGTGGCTAGAAGTCATTTCATAAATCTGTGTTCCTGGGCGTCCTGACTGGAGGATGCCCATCACCAGGGAGCCTGTTCCTTGAACGAAGGACTACAAGAGCCACCCCTGGTATCACCAGACCCTCACAGGGGGCTGCCACCTACCTCGGTCACGATGGTAGACAGGAAGATGTCCTTGCTGTACTCCCAGCCATCCAGGCAGCTCTCCTGCTCCAGCTGCTCCAGGTCCACGTCCTGTACCGGCTCCAATCCTAGTGCGGAGAAGTTGGCGATAGTAGCCAGTCGGTAGCGGCGACATTTCTGGGGCACCTGTCGTCCGTTCTTCGTCTCCAACGGGATACTGCGGTTGCGCCACGCGCTGCTCAGGTTCACAGTGTCCGGTATGCGGCAACGGTGCTCCGGGATCGCTGTCAGGAACACGGCTGACAAACCAGTGAAGCCATTGGGGATGATGCTGGCGCTGAGGAGGAAGAAGATGAGGCGCTGGAAGGGGCCCCACTCGCCCAGGAAGGCGGTCAGGTCATCGTAGGCTGACATACAGTCCTTAGTCGCTCACAGAGTCAGGCGGAGAACCTGAAGACAGCCCGGCGCAGGGGGCGGGGCACAGTGTACAGTGCGCGTGCGTGCGTGCGTGCGGAGCACCAGCCGCGGACCGCTTTTGCTGACCTTTACCAAGGGACAAGCTCGTGAGTTCCTCTCGCTGCCTCAGACCCGCCAGCGCCAATCATACCTAGGCGTGAGGCCATGACGGGCTCTGGGTCTGGGCTTAGGCCACAGGGCCCGCCTCGCGGGTCAGCTCTGAGGCACGCCGTAGTGGGAAGGCGTAGGAGGCTAGGTGACCCGCGGTGGGGCGCCCGACCCGGCCCAGGACTCCGAGCTGGCTGGGCAGTGCAGAAGCGGGTCGGAGCCTGGCTTCAGAATTGGGCGGGTGGTGAAGGGCAGCCCTGAGCTGAGGTCTCCTCAAGAGTGGGCGCGGGCCGCTGGGGGCGGGGCCTCTGTAGCTTCCCGCCTCCGCTGGGTAAGGGGGCGGGACTTCTGAGGCCACACCCTCGAGTAGGGCCCCTTTAGGGACTTGGGGACCAGGCTGGATGTTCAGTGGGGGAAGGCTTAGATATTAAGTATTAAATAGCCTACCCTCTTAACTTTAGTTGTGTCCCGCCGAGAGTCTGCTCCTTCAGAGGACTTGAGTTCGATTCCCAGCACACAACGATGGCTTACAACCTTCTGTAACTTCAGTATCAGGGGAATGAAAGTCCTTTTCTCCCCTACTGGACACCAGGCACACGCGTGGTGCACAAAGACACATGCGGGCAAAATGCCCATTCACATAAAATAAAATTATAATATTCACTGAAATGATTGAGACAGATTTTGAGACCGTGGTCATGAGGCTGCGAACAATGAACTTTAGTTTTCCGATTTCTTTCTGTGCTTTATGTTCTTTTTTTTTTAAATTGATCTTAAATTTGTTTTTTTTTAATATTTATTTATTTATTATGTATACAGTATTCTGTCTGCATGTATGCCTGCAGGCCAGAAGAGGGCACCAGACCTCATTACAGATGGTTGTGAGCCACCATGTGGTTGCTGGGAATTGAACTCAGGACCTTTGGAAGAGCAGGCAATGCTCTTAACCACTGAGCCATCTCTCCAGCCCATGTGCTTTATGTTCTTAAGAAATCATTCTTTCATCAAATTGATTTAAGCAAGTGTAAAAAATTAGCTTCAAGAATAAGGATCTTAGTCTACGGTTAAACCCTCTGATTAGTTATTTTTACAGTTAACTCAGGAGCTGACTGGTAAAAATATCAAACAAAGAAAAAAACCTGCCAGGTTTGGTGGCAGGGCCCTTTAATCCTAGCACTAGGAAGACAGAAGGAGGAGGATCTCTGTGGATTTGAGGCCAGCCAGGGATACACAATGAAACACAGCGTCAAAACAAATAACCTCACAATGAAAGCCATTATTTTGTGCAGATGATATTTCCTGAAATTAGAAAAAGTTCGAGCATAAAAATAGTAATTGTGTGATTCTAAAGTAATATTTTTTATTTATATCTATGAAATGGAGCCTGCTGTGTTGACCTGATTTTTTTCTACCACTTTGACCCCAAATGACCACCAGTCTCTTTCCCTCAAGTAGCAGGGACAACAGGTGCGCACAACAGGTGTACATTATAATTAAAATTGTTTTGGTAGCCCTTGTATTAGTAACATTTCCTGTTGCTGAGACAAAATGCTGGAGAAAACCAGTTGAAGGAGGGAAGGAAGGGTTGGTTTGTTTGGGCTCATGGTTGCGGGTGGAGTCAGTCACTCTGGGAAAGCATGGTGGCAGGAGTACGAGGCTGCTTGTCACCTGTCCTCAGTCAGGAAGCCAGGAGTGATAAATACTGGTGCTCAGCTGTCTTCTCCCTTTTATTTAGTCCCGGATCCCAGGCCTGCCCACTGTTAAGGTTCGTCTTTCCGGCTCAGCTAACCCAGTCTAGAAACTTCCTCACAGGTATGCCTAGAGGTGTCTCTCTTAGATGATTCTAGATGCCATAGAGTTGACAACATTTAACCATCACAATTAAAATTAACCATATGAATACAATTAATACATATTAATTAATACAAGTTAATACATATTAATTTCAAGATTTAATAAATGAAAAATCTACCTGGTTAAACTCAAATTTTAGATAAAGAAGAAACAATTTTAATTATAATTATGTCCCCCGAAGGGAGGGATAAGTGAAATTGAGTTGTCAGTGGGTGTCCTGGGCTCTACCTGGCAATGCTGCATATTAAAAATTTTTAGAGCTGGGGTGGGGCTGTAGTGTGAATTCTAATTGGTTTTAATAATTAAACTTGGAGTCAGATATGGGGCAAGTACTGAAAGATCAGAGAAGTAAAGGAGCCAGCCACTAAAGGGACTTCTTACCTCTACTGAATTCTCAGACAGAAGGGGCTGAGCTCCTGTCTCCTACTGCCTTTTATTTCTCTCTCCACCCAGCCATATCACTTTGTTTCCACCTCCTTAGTGCTGGGATGAAAGGCATGAGATTCCAAGTGCTGGAATCAAAGGTGTGTACCACCACTCCCTGGTTAACTAGTGGCTAGCTCTGCCCTCGGATCTTCAGGCAAGCTTTATCTGTTAGAGCACATACAAAATATCAGCACGTGTGGCTCAGTGGGAGAGTGCTTGCCTTGCATGCTCCAGGCGCTGCGTTTGATCCCACCACTGTAAAAAAAATGTATGAAATAACTTGTAATAATATATTTAACCCCATGTATCTGAAATGTTATCATTTCATCATAAATTGGCATAGAGAGTATTGAAATGCATTTGATTCTTATCAAAAACCATTAATCCCTATTTCTCATACTTAGTCTTAAGACTTCAGTGTGCATTTTACAGGACATTTCAACTGAATCTAGTGACATGCTCATTTAAATACTTAGCAGCTACTTCTAGTTAGTGGCTACCTTAGTGGATAGTATAATTTTAAGGCCTTTAAAATTTTGGGTCTGCTAATAGTTTGAACATTACAAGATGTTCCTATTTTATGAAAATTTCTTTCAGTGTTTTTTGTTCTTTTCTCTTGTGTTTTTTTTTGGGGGGGGGTGTTGGATTTTTTTGGTTCTGGAGATTTAACCCAGCGCCTGTGCGTGCTAGTGTTTTTAATAGTCATGGTTATATTTTATAAAGGCTACATTCAACCTTCCTAGGTTTTGACACCACATTCTCATGCCCCGTCATCGCTTTGCTAACTGAGCCATGCCCTCAGATCTGGAAAGACTTCTTTGTCTGCATTGGTGCTATGATCAGCTGATACGTGTGAAGACAGTGTTCTGCAGAGTGTGCAGATCAATGGATGAACTGTACATCTATTTGGTATGACTCTTTAGCACAGGGTGACAACTACACATCAAAGGCTCAGGACCTACTATCCAAGGATCATTTGGCTACAGAAACTCCTCTCATCTTGAACATGCTGGATCATCTCTGCCCTTACACACACAGACACATAAACACACAAACACTGTTACCATCAAGTAGTTGTGATAATACAATCAATTTTATTTGGATAGCATTTTGGAAATGTGTGTTAATCTTCATATGGATTTTGCCAGTCCGTGACTAACACCTTTTCAAGAAAAATCTTACAAACCTATGTCTCTGACTAGTTAGTGGTCAAGACACTTTAGAAATGTTTGTTCTTAAAAACAAGAAGGTTATCTGGAAGAGTGGGCCAGAGTTTAGAGGACACCATGCCTTTCTCCACAAGTCCAGCTTAACACCTATGTTCCTGTTAGTCCCTTTCAGCAGTAAAGGCTTGGATTTGGTTTGTTTTGTTGAGGCAGGGTTGCTTGTGGTCCAGGCTGATCTGGCACTCCTGACCTTGAATTCCTGATCCTCCTGCCCCCCTCTACACGCTGGGATTACAGGTGTGTTCCATCACCCCCGGGTCATCTCACGTCTGTGTCTCAGGTTGCCAAGTGCAGGGGATCCCTTATTAAAATGCAGTGATCAGAACCTTGGGGTTTTCTTCTCTGTCCACAGAGGCTGCTGGTTTTTTCCCACATCTGAACCTGAAAAGAAAACAATGGCAGAAGAAAATTAGACAGTTAAGACTCTTCTCCTTAAAACACCAGACTGACATCGGAAAACATTTCCCCATTCGACCAGGGAAAAACCTGTGAATTCTAACTAAAGAACCTAACAGGTGCAGACCTCATGACTTAGGATTTATTTGAGCTACTTTCTTGATTAAACACAAAACCTAGAATCTAAGCTCTCCAGTTTCCATGAAGAAAGGATTGAAGGGTAGCAGGAAGTTCATGGCAATACTGAAGGATTATCATGAAGAATTATAATGATTAAATGAATTACCAAATGCAGGTATCTGTTCAAATTTGTGACAGACCAGTATCTACACATACGGACTTAGCTTTATTATGGTCTGCCACGGCTAACACTTTATCTCACAGAACCCCCAGGCAGTCACATAAATATTCCCATGTAATAAATGGGAAGGCCGACGGCTGAGAAGACAAATACTTTCCCCATTAGTTAATTTACGCCATAAGTTGGGAATTTGGAGCCAGGCCGATGCAGCTCAGAGTCTCAGTTTCTCCATCTAGCCGCTGAGCTTTACTCCTGTTTGGGCTTTGCCTCTGGGTCCTGGCACGGAGCTCCCGAATCTCTTGTGGTTTCCTGAGTTCTATGAGGAGCGCTTAGCTAGCACAGCATGGGGACAGGCTGCCAGAAGGAAGAAGCCTTCATCTAAGAGCACAGACCTTTGTGGCTTTGCTCTCTCAGCCTCTGCAGAGAAGGGCAGGGTGGGGATAGAGTGATCAATCAAGCGCACAGGATGGAGAATCTGCATCCGGTGGGGTTTGGGGAGCTCCTGAACCATGGCCTGCCTCTGCTGTCAGGGGAGCAGTAGCCCCACACTCAGGGTTTCCAGCACGCAGCTGCCTGTATTCTTCAGGTGCTGACGGCTGGTGAGGGAAGCGTTCCCTAAGCTGTGAGGCTTCCTCACAAGTGGCTGAACACAAAGATGGGAGCTGTGGGACCCCAGACTTTTGTAGCCAAGTCAAACATTAGTGAGAATGACTTGTGGCTGGCAGTCACAGTTTGAGAAAGGTGTGGGATTGGGCCCTCACACCTGGGGGGTCTGATGCTAGGTGTGGTGTCAGAATTGAGCCAGATTGTGAGAACACCCAGATTTGTGTTCTCATATGTGTGGATGTGTGTGTGCGCACACAAATGTGTATGTAGGTGCACGTTAGGTTTTTGAGGCAGTATCTCTCTGAACCTGGAGCTCACTGATTTGACTGGATTGACTGGCCAGCAAGCCCCTGGCTCAGCACTGCCTCTGCTTTCCTGGAACTGGGATTACAGAAGTCATGCCTGGTTTTTACATGGATGCAAACGAACTGTAAGCCAAAATAAACTCTTTCCATGTAAGCTGTTCTTGGCCACGGCATTTTACCACCACAACAGAACGGTATCCACTACAGAGGATAACTGGGGGAAAATCAAATCTCTCCTTCCACTCTCGGATCAAGGAACGGAGCTCAGGTGCTCAGTCTTGGTGGTCAGCACCCTCACCCTCTGTGCCATCTCACGGGCTCCTCTATTTCTTTATACATATGATGAGTAGATTGATTTTCATGTGTGCTGCACAGTTAAATTTTACCTTCTCTAAGCAGCCAGTTCCTGTCCTTTGCTGGCAAAACCTCTTCCCCATGACTGCAGAACTTGGGACATCAGCCTCTGTCTACATTTGTGCTTTACATAGTTCCCCCCTGCTTATCAGCTTTGATTTTGCTGTTTTTTGTTGGTTGTTTGGTGTGGGGCCAGGGTCTCAGTGTGTAAGATGACCTTTAGCTCTTGATCTTGTCTCCCCCTCTTTGCTCAGTTCACATTTACACAAATTGTTTTGTTTTAGTAGATTCATAATTTTGTATTTTCAGTCCTAAATATTTTTTCTTTCTAGAATTTATCTTGATGTATTGAGAGGATTTATTTTTTTCTTTAAAAATTCTGATTATTTTTACATATGTATGTATGCATGTATATATGGATGAATGGATACTGAGGGGGTTCATCATTTGATCCAGGCTGGTCTTGAACTCCTGTATTCATGTGACCCTCCTACCTTATTCTTCCCTTGAAGCTTGGACTACAGGTGTGTGCCCTGTTCTTCCCAAAGGATTTTAAGTTGATATGCGGTTGGTTAGTTTGCTTTAAATCATATTCTGAATTCTTTTATTTTATTTTTTCCCAAACAATTGTGGTATCTTTATTGACTTTTTTTCTGAAAGCAATGACTCTTTTTTTTTAACTCTTAAGGAAAATAAACATCTTTTAGAAACAGCTCGATACACACAATCTTTGGTGTGAAGCAATATACTAATATACTAATAAGAACACTAATTGTCTTAACATTTAAAATCTTCTCATATATTATATATGTATACTTATATATACACTATATAATGAGGCCAGATCTTTTATTTTCTTGGGCTTTGTTCTCTCCTGCCCCACTGGTCTCTATCCCTCCACCGTTGCCATGCCAATATTCCTCAGTGCCCCTCTGCTAATCTCCACTCAGAGCTCCTCTTTTCCAGACCATGTTCGATATTCTCCCACGTTTATTCTTCCAATCCTTTTGCTACTTACCCTCTCACTTTCTGCATCTGGTCTAAGTTCTCTGGTAGAGCCACTCCCAAACTTTCAGGGAAAAAAAGCGTGATGATTCCAATCAGGACTGTCAGACTGCCCATGAGAATGTAGGGCAGGAGTCTGTTATAGGCCCCTGTAAAGCAGTAGACACAGAGCATCAGTTAGATACGCACGTGCTCCTGGGAGTCATTTTGTCAAGGTGCAGACAGGCTGTGAGAGCAGATTTAGGCTAACCTTTTTCAGAAGAAGGAGAGTCAGCAAAATACTACAGGTTGTTCCAGTGGGATGCCACAGCCTGCACTCCTACAATTATTTACCTCCTGGTTGTACATTAGCATGCTGCTAGGCTCTAAGCTACTGTTCATCTGTGCATGACAGATGTTCCTTGGATAAAAGTCTTCACTGTCAAAGCTTCCTTTGGTGTGGTAACTTGAGATGGGTGGTTAGAGGACTTAGCAATGTAGCTGAGGTTGACTTTGAATATCTGATTCTCTTGCCCTCACCTCTGTGACTCTATCCATGGATTAATCAGTACTGGGGGGGGGGTCAAACCCAGGGCTTTGTGCTTCCTTAGTAGGCAAGGATTGTACTGAGCCCCATGCTAGCCCTGCTCGACTTCTCTTTATGGAGCTACTGGACAGGAGGACAAGAGATCCTCATTTTGCTGCTCCTCTGTACACAGAACAGAAAAACAACAGTCATGCATATAGTATCTTTTTTTTTTTTTGGCTGATAAGGTAAACAGTGCTCTTGAGTCTTCTGTTTGGCTAACAGAAATAGCATCTTATATTAAAGGATCTTTCTTGGGCTCAGCTTCTTGTGAACTAGGGGCCTAGCACTGGATCATCTAAGTGTAGCTGAGAAGTATCGTGAGAATTGGCACCACCCTATACAGTATGCTGTCACAGTATTGCTCAGCAGCTGTGCTCAGAGCAGATGTGCAGGGTGTGTTAAATTTAGGAAAATGTGTTTCTTTCTCTGTATGGATTTAGAGTGTACCTTTTCTGAGAATTCATATCTGGGGTGTGTGTGTATGTTTGATCTGGTAGACAACCAACATGTCGGGAAGAAAAATAAGGAAGTCTGTTTATGCCAGTCAATTCCTAATAAAGACTAGGCTCAGAACACTGAACAACATCCCACTAAAGCCCCTTTTAATATTATTTAAGACTGCTATATTTGATTATACAGAAACTAAATATTTCTGTCTTGGACAGGGCAGTGGTGGCACATGCCTTTAATCCCAGCACTCAGGAAGCTGAGGCAGGTAAATCTCTGTGAGATCGAGGCCAGCCTAGTCTACAGAGAGTGTCCTAGAACAGACTCTAAAGCTGTATAGAAAAACCCTTTCTTGAAGACAAACAAACAACCCAAAATAAAAACTTAAGTAAACTCTAAATGATTACTTAGGAAAATATTTATAAAATATGTATAAAATGTATACAGAAGACTGGCTTCTTTGTACTATAAAGAACTCATATATACCACAAAGAAAATTTGAGCCTAGCCACCGAACCACTGGGGAGGACTCAACAGCATCCTCTGCATGCCATTTATCCCGACACTCTGTGTCTATCTGCCCAGGACTCAACAGCATCCTCTGCATGCCATTTATCCTGACACTCTGTGTCTATCTGCCCAGACTCAACAGCATCTTCTGCTTGCCATTCATCCTGATACTCTGTGTCTATCTGCCCAGGACTCAACAGCATCCTCTGTGTGCCGTTCATCCTGACACTCTGTGTCTGTCTGCCCCTGCTCTCACAACCCCTCTGTTGTCTGGTTCCATCAAGAACAAGGACTCCTAACTCCCGTCCACTAGTTAGAATCTCTGCTCTTTCCATTCCTTTGCCTGCTTCCTGCTAACACTGAGGGGGTTATCCATGTAAGAATTCAGTCCTGGATGATGGTTCCATGGTAAAGACCACTTGTTGCTCTTGCAGAGGGTCCAAGTTTCATTTGCAGCACCCACATGGTGACTCATACCTTCCACAACACCAATTCCAGGAGATCAGACACTTTCTCCTGACTTCCCTGGACACCAGGGACAAAAGTGATATGCTTACACCATACACATAAAATACAAAATTTGTTAGATCAAAAGACACAGACACACGCACAGACACACAGACACACAGACACACAGACACACACACACACACACACACAGAGAGAGAGAGAGAGAGAGAGAGAGAGAGAGAGAGAGAGAGAGAAGATAAAGGGAACCTAATAGAGTCATAGCAGAAGGATCCCTTACTACTACATCCAAGGGGTCACTGGGAATCATCATGAAAAGAAACTGGCGAGGGCTTTAAGATGAAATGTGCCTGCAGCCGGGCTGTGAAACTAAGCAGGCAGAGTATGTGACCGGCACAGGACACCAACCCCTCCTATGAGGGGACTGGCCAAAGAAGGCCCTTGGTCACACACACAACGCACATAACACCCACATGCAACATACATTAAAAAATTAAAACAAACCATGAATTTGAAGACAGAACAAGAGGAATCTCACCCAGGTAAACAAAATAGGGAGCGATGATGCTGCCCACCCGAGAGGCCATGGAGGTGATGCCCACGGCCATGTTCCTGACCAGGGTCGGGTAGAGCTCTGCCGTGAAGACGTACAGCATGGAGAAGGCAGAGGTGACCCCAAATTTCCCCAGCATCACCAGAGCGATGGACACGAAGCTATAGTCTGGAAAAGAGCTTCATTTCAGACAGGTGCTTCTAGAACTGATACGAACTCGGTTCCCTTATGGTCTCCTTTTCCGCGGTGTGGTGATTCCTCATAAAGTACTGCTGGACAAGACTCTGTCCTCAAACATCCCCATCAGCACACGGTTGATGATGGAAGGTGAGGGGTGGCCTTGACCGGAGCTACTCTTATTCTGGATTATTAATGTATACTGAGGCCCCTGTCCACTTGTGTGTGTGTG